CCGCCCGCCCGTCCGGCGGTGGCTCGCGGTGTCCCGCGGTGTCCCGCGGTGTCCCGTGGTGTCCCGTGGTGTCCCGTGGTGTCCCGTTGAGGGAGATCGATAGTGAGATCGATAGTGAGATCGATAATGAGATCGACAGGTGTCCCGAAGTGTCCCGTGGTGTCCCGTTGAGTGAGATCGATAGTGAGATCGATAATGAGATCGACAGGTGTCCCGTGGTATCCCGTGGTGTGCCAATGAGTGAGATCGATAGTGAGATCGATAGTGAGATCGATGTGGTGCCCCGAGGTGTCCCTTGGTGCCACGTGGTGTCCCAAAAAGTGAGATCGATGGTGAGATCGATAGAGAGATCGACAAGTGTCCCGCGGTGTCCCGCTGAGTGAGATCGACAGTGAGATCGAAAGTGAGATCGATGTGGTGTCTCGAGGTGTCCCGCGGTGTCCTCTGGTGCCCCTCTGAGTGAGATCGTTAGTGCGATCGATAGTGAGACCGAAAGTGAGATCGAGAGGAGTCCCGCGGTGCCCCGTGGCGTCCCGTGGTGACCCGTGGTGTCCCGTTGAGTGACATCGATGGTGACATCGATAGTGAGATCGACAAGTGTCCCGTGGTGTCCCGTGGTGTCCCGTTGAATGAGATCGATTGAGTCAGATGTTGGTTCCCCCCCTCTCCCCCCCCAGAACTTCCTTATCACCCGAAGGGTGGTCGTATAGGTAGATGTAGAGGTGTGTTCATTCACTCATACATCTGTATATCTATATATGTATAGATGGTGTGTAATTGCAGGTGCATCGATTTATGTATATGCCTATATATACATATATGTATACATGTCTGCCCTCAGGTCCTTTGCCTCATCCCCTCTGCCTGAACCCTCGATCCTGAAGGTTCTTCAAAGGCCCAGAGCCCAAATGGCCACATCTTCTTGGCCTCGTCGCGGTTCCCCTGAGCGCGACCGCGTCTCCCCGCGCGAATTGTTTGGGCCCAAGAGGGCCCCAAGAGGGGCCAAGAGAGCCCCAAGAGACTCCCTAGATGGGCCAAGAGGGCTTCGAGACGCCTAAAGCTCGCCCCAAAACGCCCAAGGTGGCCCCAAGACTGTCCAAGAGGCCTCCAAGACGCCCCAAGAGGCATCCAAGAGTCCTCCGAAGAAGAAGATCCCCAGAAGCCCAAATCACAGATGTTCCGCAGGTCGTTTTTTTTTTTTTTTGTTGCTTCCCGACGCCAGACGGCCCCAGAGGCCCCCAAGATCGCCCAACGACGGCCCAAGAGGCCTCCAAGAGGGCCCCAAGACGGCCCAAGAGGGCCCCAAGGCGGCCCAAGAAGCGAAAACGGAGATCCGGAGGAGGAGGAGGAGGAGGAGGAGGAGGGGGAGGAGGAAGAGGAGGAGAAGGCGGAGGAGGAGGGGGAGAAGGAGGAGGAGGAGGAGAACACCAACACGGCCCCAGAGGCCGCAAAGACAGCTCCAAGAGAGGGCCCCGATGGGGAACCCGACTGGACATGCCGAAACCTCAGCCCCGGGAGGCCCCAAGGAGGTCCCAAGAGGCCCCCCAATGGGCCCCACGAGGCCCCCAAGAGGCCCAAAGGAGGCACACGAGGCGCCCAAGAGGCCCCCAAGAGCCCTCCAAAGGCCTCAAAAAACTGTCTCCAAGAGGCCTCCGAGGTCTCCAAGAGACCCCGAGGAGCATCCCTGAGAACTCTGACTCACAACTCAGGCACGGATGGGCCGAAGGCAGTTCCATCCGCCGCCCCCTGTGGCCTTCCCACAGGGGTGCCTGGCGTGCTAAATCCTACACGGCTTGGTTTTGGTTCTTTTTCCTAAGAAACCCCGTGGGGCTTCGGCCCAGCTCGCCGGCCACCTGAAAGGACCGCAAACCACCTCGACGTCCACAAACAAATCTTCAAGACGGCACAGGATGGCCTCTCCGACGACCAAAATGTATCAAGATGGCCTCCAAGATGCCTCCAAGACGGCCAAGATGGCCCCAAGAGACCCCAACATGGCCCCAAGATGCGCCCAAGACGGCAAAGATGGCCTCAAGACGGCTTGAGAGGCATCCAAGAGGTCCTCCAGGAGGGCCCGAAGAGGCCAAAATCATTGATTTTACTCCCGTGCTTGAAGGACTTGCCCTTTGCTTATGCACGGCCTTGCGACGGCCCAAGAGGGCCCAAGATGGCCCCAAAGGCCTCCAAGATGACCCAATGACGGCCCAAGAAGCCTCCAAGACGGCCCCGAGAGAGCCCCAAGAGGGACCAGGAGGCCTCCAAGACTCCCATGGTAGCCTCCAAGACGGTCTGAAGCGTCTCAAAAGGGTTCCAAGTCGATCCAGAGAGGCCCCCAAGACGGCTTCCGACGGCGTCAGACGGGCCAGGAACGCCCCAAGACTACCAAAGAGTCCCCCAAGAAGCCCCCAAAGGCCCCCAAGAGGCCCAATGAGGCGTCCAAGAGGCCTCCGAAAGGCCCCCACAAGAAGCTCCCAAAAGGCCCCAAGAGTCCTCCTCCTCCTCCTCCTCCTCCTCCTCCTCAGCCTCATCCACCTTCTCTTCCTCGTTCCCATCCTCCTCTCTATATGTTCTCCCTCTCCTCCGCGCCTTCTTTCTCCCCCGCTCCCCGAAGAGTCTCCACAACGGCTGGGGGATCAGATGGTCAGATAGTTTGGCCGAGTTCTGGCCACAACAGTCGGCCCCAGGCGACTCCAAAATGCACGGGGCGGCGGTGATTCGCCGTAGGCATCTTCGATACACACGCATGCATGTTATATATATATATATAAATACATATATATATATATGCATGCGTATATATGCATACATAGCTATGCATATATATATAAGTATAGATGCAAGTGTCCGACTGGACGCGCTCGCACGACAACTTGCATCTTACCGCTACCGCCATCCCTTCCAATAGCGCTGAGTCCTGTGCCATATGCCAATGCCGACTACGGTATCCTACATGTGGTCAGCCGCCACCTGTCAGCTTCAGGCCTTGACAGCCGCTTGCTGCGCAAATCTGGGAGGGGACGCTCCTGGAGGAGGAAGGGACGAGGCGAGGACGAGGGGGATGCGAAGCAGGAGCAGGATAAAAAAAGCAAATCTGGGAGGGGACGTTCTTGGAGGAGGAAGGGACGAGGCGATGACGAGGGGGATGCGAAGCAGGAGCAGGATAAAAAAAAGGGCAGGAGCAGCAGCACCGCGGAAACGGCGGGGGGAGAGGCGGGGAGAGGAAAAAGGCAGCGACGAGGGGAGCGAGGGCGGAGGATGGATTTGAAGGGGCCCTGGGACACACAAATAAATACACACAAATAAAACGATTCCCCATGTTTCCCTATATTTTCTGGGTTTTTGTCTTCCCCACCACTTCTCACATTTTCTCATATTTCTGGGGGATCGACGATTAATTGTGTCTGTGTGTTTTTCTCCTTCCTGAAGATTAGGGGCCTCTTCGGGGGCTCTTGGGGGCCTCTTGGACGCCTCCCGGGAGCTTCTGCGAAGCTTCGTGGCCTCTTGGGCAACAGATCTAACCGACAACCGAATTGCCCCCTCATCATATTCAAATCGTCGTCGCCCTTCTCCTCATCTGTCTCCTCTTCCTCCTCCTCCTCCTCCTCCTCACCCACTCGACATTGCCCTATCCTCCTCATCCTCCACCCTACTCATACTCTCCCCGTCAGTCTCCGGCCACCTCCCCTCCACCACTTGCACCCGATGTTGCCTCATCCTCCGCATTTCTTCCTCATCTCTTCCTGCTCCTCCTCCTCCTCCTCTTCCGCCGATCCTCTCTCCTCAATCATCAATCCTCCCTCCTCTCCCTCTTCTTCTTTTTCCTCCTCCTCCTCGTCCTCCTCCTCCCCCTCTTCCTCCTCGTCCTACCTTTCCACTCCGTAGCCATTTTGGCTCAAGCCATGTTGGCTCAAGGCGGCAGCAGAGTGCCAGGTATGGGCGCGCGCACCCCCCCTTTTCCTGGAACCGGCGGCAGATCGGCACGCCATGCAGACAAAAACTCCGTGGGTAAAGGCAGCGTGGGTGAAGCAGTCCCCGCAACAGTCCTCGCAGGAACAGCTCAGAAAGAAGTCTTCATACGTTCTTTGTCCAATTGGGAACACATGTTGGCTATGGAGAAGTCGTATCCAGAGGGATCCTACTTGCACATGTGGGTTGCCATGGGAGAGTGAAGTTCAGACAGCTCCGCCCGCTGCTGCGGTACTTCGCCCTCGGCTTCCAACACCGCCGAGAGCTCCGGCGGGGAAGTCTCATTCATCGGAGTCCAGAAAGGACCCAGTCAAGCAGCCGGTGCAGAAGGAGCCAAAGCCGAGGAAGGTTTCAAGGCCATTGGAATCCAGCTCGGACTCAGCTAAGCAGACTGAGCAGGAGCTCAAGAGATCGCAGTATGACGGCACTGCCTCGGATTCTCCTGTCAAGCCAAAGTCATTGGAAGAGATCAAGCAGGGCCTAAAAGATTTTCGCATCTAGTCCCTGAGCAAGCAGCTCGACCAGGCCAGGGAAGATATCCGCAGGATGAAACAGGACAATCGCTCCCGTGAGGATCGCAGCCCAGCATCCCCCCGTGGCGAGAAGGGCAGCAACGGTAAGACTGACAAGCCAGCTTCCGAGTCCAGCAGTGACAGTGAGAGTGATAATTCTTCTCAAGCGTCTCCAGCTTCGAAGTCATAAGATCCTCCCTGATAGGGAAGTCGCGCAGTGTGGGAGGATCCGCACCATTTTCAGGCGCAAGGAACGAACACCCATGACAGTTTGCATGGCCGATGTGCATGTCATCGTTTTTTTGCGCCACGGCAATGCGCAGAAGAAATCAGAAAACGGCGCCGGCGCGCGCGCGCTCCCCCCACGCAGACCAGCCTCGGACGAACCGGCAACTGGCTGCTAAGGGGGGCGGCGCAGAAGAGCTCAAGCAACGGCCGGCGAGCGCGTGCGCCCCCGGGTAGACCAGCCTCGGACGAACCGGCAACTGGCTGCCGGGGGCGCTGCGCAGTCGGGGGGGGCTCTCAAGGCTTCTTGGGGTCCCTGCGCAAGGCGGTCGAGACTCCTTGGTCGAGCAGTCCGCGCTCTGCCGCGGCAAGGGGGGGGGGTGACCATCCGAGGGGAGCTCCCACCTGCCGCGCGGGGTGCCGTGCACCCGCGGCGGCAGCGCTCGCCTTCTCGGGGCCCCCTCCCTCGCCAGACGGCGAGTGACCCAAACACTTGCATCGCACCAAACGTCTGCGAGCGCTGGGTGGCGGCGGGCCAGCACGCGCAGACGGGCTTCAAACACCTGTTCAGCAGCGGCAGAGCGCCCAACTCGACGGGCGTTCAGGGCCGCAAGAAAGGCTTCCATGCAGGAAGCACGACGGAGGAGACCAGCAACATCGTCAAATGCGAGGAGGAGGCAAGAGGGAAACCAATGGAATGAGCGCTCAGCTTGATAGACTCGAATACGTCTCCCCATCCATCTCCTGAGAAGTGATTCCAGCTTCGGACAAGAAGAATAATGGCGAAGCGAATCGTTGTCGACTCCGTCGACGGTCTGGCACCCGAATAGACGCCCTCTTGGGGCTGAGTGAAATCGGGAGCTCGCGCAGATAGATCCAGTCAGCAAGCGAAAGGGAGCCATGCCAACATACATACTCGTTGCTTTGCACACTCTTTTTAAGTTCTCTTTCAGGATGACGATATGCTCACGGGTGACCTCAGGGCAAAAGTGGTGGGCCCGCCGAAGGAGGATGGACTCGATACTCTCACTGGTCTCTAGCCCTCGAAACGCCCGATAGAGCCGATGTTGTAACTTGCTCGAAGAGGAAGGGATGTCAAGGGAGAGCCCGCAATACCACATTTTGACCGACCTCAAATATCCCAAGAGGCCTTCAGCGTGCCCCCCACGAAGCCACCTATACGGAATGTGTTCGACGTCTGAACGAGAGGCCTCCAGCGAATCCAGAAGCCCAAAGATCCACCCAGATCTCAAGAGATACCGAAGGGCAGTGGCTTTCGCGACCGCGTCGAGCTCCAGGAATTCAGTGGCGAATCCGATGCGGGTAAGTTTCGTGGTGACGTTGTAGGAGATGGCGTTCCTGGGCCCCGAGGTGAGGAGGGGCACTCCGTTGCGGTAGGCGGACGCCAGCTCCTGGGAGGGCGGGTAGAGCTGAAGCCTGAACAGGAGCTTGCTAACGCACATGACCTGAAAGGCAGCCGCGGACTGAGCAATTCCCAATCCCAATGCACGCGTCTGGTGAATCCTCGCAACAAAGCTGGGGAGGATGGGGGACCATACCTGCGCGGCGCCCTCGGGGCCGATCGGGAAGCCAAGGTAGGTGGCGGAGAGGGAGACCTGAATGAGGTTGTAGGGCGCGCCAAAGGAGCGGAGGAGGGAGCGGATGGGTGATGTGCCCATGGCCCCGCAGACGACCACCTGGCACATCCGAAAGTTCAGCCGAAGGTTGGCAACCGCCGCCAGTGCTTCCAAGCTGTCAAGAATCGCTTTGAGTGATGAGGAGATTCGCTCAACTCCAAAACCGAAGTCATCGGCATATGCAAGAGACAGCCCCAGCGCTGAGCCGAGGGACGCCCTAATCCATGCCAACAGAGGGTTCACGGCGAGAACGAAGAGGAACATGGAGGCGGGGCACCCTTGTTTGACCCCAGACGCGATACGAATAAGCCCGTGACGACGACCACGAAGTGAGAGGATAGCGGTGTTATCGGAGTACGTCATTCGGAAGAAGTGGACGAGCGAGGAAGGAATGCCCATGGCCTCAAGCACGAAGAAAAGCCACTCCTGCGCCAAGCTAGGAAACGCTGACGCGAAGTCAGTCAACAGTAACGCCGCGTCTGAAGATGCCGTCATGTATTTCTCCACCCCCCAAGCCTCCGCCCTCACCACGTTCTCAATCATGTCCCTCCCGCTGACGCACTTCTGTTCCTCCCCCATCAGGTTAGCAGAGTTCGCGGCAATGGGCATGACGCAGGCGGCGGCTAGGATCTTAACATCCGAGTTGCCCAGGCAGATGGGTCTGGTGGCAGCCGCCTGTCGGTGCAGCGGGTGGCCTGGGCAGTCATCCTGCAGGGCACCGTTAGGAAGAAATACAAGCAAGCTGCAGAGCATGTCAGACGGGAGAGAGGAGAGAGATGCGGTCATCGAAGAGGGTGAGGTAGCACGAGTATAAAATACGAGCCGCACGCGGTTGCTTCCACACGGCATACGGTAGTCCATCAGGACCAGGGGTGCTGTGCCCACGAGTCCGAACCATCTCAAACCATACAGCATAGGGAAGGCACCAGTCGACCGAAAGCGGGGCCTGTACGGTGCGAGTATGGGTGGCAATCGAATCCCACTGGGAGCGATCGACGGTGGGGGCGGCAAACTGCTGCTCCCAGAAGGCCCCGAGAGTAACGGCGGCCTCCGAGTCGGACGATGTGTGGACTCCGTCCACCGAGATGATATTCCCCAGGACCGTCCGCTTCCGAAACTTTTGCCAGAGGAGCCGCCGCCGTCGTAACCGAGCCATCGCAGACCTTTTCACCGATGCATCCGCTGAGCTCCTCCTAATATCGCCTTCCTCCTCCTCCAGAATTTGCCTGTAAATGCAGAAGATATGCTGCGATAGCCCCTCGAAGTGAATGCACCGATCGAGCTCATCGAAGTGGGTCCGAAGCCGAGGATAACATTCGAGAGCGAGTCGGGTCCCCTCTTGGTCACCACGTATCACCGCACGCATCGCTGAGAGAGCCCAATAGTGCTTCTCCTGTCTCGTGCGGGCAAGCCGACGCCGCAGAGCAAGACGGGCCGATCGGCCAGCATCAAACATCATTGACTTGGCAAACTCCAAACGGGTCCACTCGTCCCAGGCGGCGGGGATGGTAGCAATCACCTCCTCAAGGGCCTGTCCGAACTCAGGGGTCTCGGCAAGCCATGCGGGGATGCAGGGACTCCTGGGGTTGGGAGAGTACCTTGTGATAGTAGAACGAACGGGCAGGTGGTCGCTGCTCATCACCGCTTTCAGCTTCCCAACGACAGTGGTGGAGATGGTGAGATCACGGATAAGGGCAGCGGGAAGGGAGGTGTAGATCCGATCTAAGCGCGAGGTCGAAGCGACGGCGGACCCTTTCTTCCCCCTGCGGGTGTCGGTGGGCTGAAACAGTTCAGTGAAGTGAGGAAGAAGACGGCGAAAGTGTCGTGAGCGCCCAGCGTCGCCGGCAGAGAGCCGATGTGCATGTCATCTTGAGAAAGTAAGTCAATGTTTTCGGATTCCAAGGGGAAGAGGGAGACCCTCTTCCAGATCCTCGCACTTTTCGCGGTAGCACCCGCACTCATCTTTCAATGGCTACGGCAATCTCTTCTTCGGTAGAATCTGCATGATACAACACACCTTTATTCGTCGTATCCCTTTGGAGGGGAAGTGGGATATCCCCTTCCAGAACCTCGACGATCAATTTAATAATGGTGTTGTTGTGGCTAGGAGCCGCAGTTGCAATGTCATTTCGGGAAGTGGGAGATCCCCTTCCAGATCCTCGCATTGCTCGCGGTAGCACCCGCACTCACCTATCAATGGCTACGGCAGTCTCTTCTTCGGTAAAATCCGCATGATACTACACACTTGGTTCGTCACATCCCTTTAGAGGGGAAGTGGGAGGTCCCCTTCCAGATCCTCGACTCGTAATCTGATAGAGGTGTGTTGAGACAGTGAGGCCGCAGCTGCAGTGTCAATTAAGAAGTGGGAGATCCCCTTCCATATCTTACAGAAGCTTCAACACTCAGCAGCGTTCTGTAGCTAGACTGGTGAGAAAACGTGGAACAACACAGGTTCCCCAACGCCTTGCTTATCCCCCTCCATCTCTCACCCCTTCCCATCTTGTATGTTTGCAGCCGAGTTACTTGCAGCAAAGGCGGTCCAGCGCCAGGCTGGCGCAGCAGACATTCTTGGGAAGGATGGTGGAGGGTATCAATTTTGGTGGGGAGCCCTTAATCGATCATCTCCTGGTTTCCTGCTCTGGCAGGCAAAGGTATCGGGGCTAATGCGTCCGGGCTTTGACAGACGCCCCAATATATCCAGGGCCCAGTCGAAGAACTGGCTCGTCCCAGCCAACCCTGAGAACCAGGGTAGCCTCATCCTCTTCCTCTTCCTTCTCTCTCATTCGTTCTACCCTCCCTCCCTCCTCCCTCCAGACAGTTCAAGGAATTGGCAGCCAGGTCGCAGGCGAAAGCATGTGGCCTTCCCTGGCGGGTCTTGCCATGGTCTCACCATGCCCGAAAGTCCGAACCTGCAATGCGTTCAGGGATTGTTCGCGTCTGGGGAGGAATTGGTGGGTGGGTTGGGAATCTCCTCCCCGGTCTGGGGAAGGTCTGCGTCGATCCGGCTGGCCAGGGCACGGCTCATTAGTAGGTGGGCAGCGTTTAACCCGGGCTAGCGTGTTCCTGGACGTTTTCCCTCTCCTCCTCTCCTCCTCCTGGGGTAGGGTTCGGTGGAGCCGAATCGGAACTGGCAGCGCCCCAGGCAATGCCTGGGTGTCATCTGCTGTCCGAGGAACGCGCCTGTTCTTTAGTTCACCCCCGAAGGGAATGTCAAACAAATGTCCTACCTTTCCTGCCCAATCTACTGCTGCTCCTACTCTTCCTGCTCACGCTCCTTCTCCTCCTGATGCTGCTGATCCAGATCCTCCTCTTCCGAATTTCTCCATTCCACCTCCTCTCGTTCCCCCCTCTCTCAACAGCTTTCCTTTCGCACTCTTGCCCAGCGATGCGTTGCTGGACGAAGGCCGAGGGCTGCTGCGTCCGCCAGGATGTCGCGCCCAATGCTCACTGCACCGACCTTGCAGACGTGCTGCAGCGGATTTTTAGCGTGGATTTCTGCCAACGCAAAACCCCAAAACGGCGAGCGCAAAACGAAATTATTTTCGCGTGGATGTTTGTTTGTCATCATATCTGCCCCCCAAAAAAAATCCCCTCGATCTTCACTTCAAAAAATCCAGACCGAAATTCTCCAGGACACTCCAGGCCCATCCCATTGTTGCCCAAACGAAGAATCCGTTCTGCGATGCTGGCGCCACGACAGTGCTGGTCTGTGTCGGGACAAGTTCGCCCTCGGCGCCCGTGCTCCGAACCGGACCAGACCTCGGGGGCTCGACTCCGGGGTCCCGGGGGCTGCCCGCGGAAGACCCCAGAGAAGCCATTGAATCAGGGATGCCCGCCCCTCGCCCCCTTCGCATCCCCCCCCCCCTGCATCCTACTACTCGCCCTCCACTACTTTCTCCCTCCCCTTCCCGCCCATCCCCCTGTGTCACTCTTCTCCCTTCTACTCCTCCCTCTCCCCTTGCCCCTCCCCCTCCTCCTTCTCCATCTCCTCCCCCTCCTCCCGCCCTGACCCTTCTCTCCGCTTCGCTCCTCATCATCCATCCCCATCCTCCTGCTCCTCCATCTCCTCCTCCATCCCCTTCCCTTCCATCTCATCCGCCCTCCTCTCCCCCATTCCACTCCGCTCAGCTCAATGCGTTCCCTGGGCAGGCTATTCCACCTCCCCTTCCTTACCATCGCCCTCCTCCTCCTCCTCCTCCTCCTCCTCTCCTCCAGCTCTCCCTTCTCCCTTTATCTCATCCCCCTCGTCCCTCGTCGTTCATCGTGCCCTGTGCTACTCCCTCCTCCCGCATCCTCCTCCCCTTCCTCTGCCTCGTCCTTGTTGTTTGTATTTAATATTCGCATTTTAGTATTAAAATGTTTACTCTTATGTTTATTAGTAATAGTTTTGTTCCTCTTCTTCTTCTTCTTCTTCTTCTTCTCCTCCCCCCTTAAATTCCCCCTCGCCGACGAAGTTCCCCGAAAGGTGGGGGGAAAGAGTCAGCGACGGCACTGCAGCCAGAACGAACCCGAGCACGGACCGGCGGTAGCTTGCGGGTGAACCGATCATGGTAAGGTTTGCCCTCGACCCTCTTTTGTGTGCCCGATCGTTTGAACGTCTGGGATTTTCCTGGGGGCCTCGGAACATGCCTGGGGACTCACAGGGGGTCGATATCTCGGGCAACTTTACACATGAACAGCCAGAAGCCCGCCTCCTGCTCCCCCTCCTCCCCGTCCCCAGCGAATAGGGATACGAGGAGGGCCGTCCAAATGCGGGCTGTGAGGCTCCAGCCAAGTTGGCCGTCCACCAGCATGCTGCCAGGAAAGGCGCACCAGAAGCTCCAGGATGATGGGCTTGTTTTCCACCACCACCACCATAAGTAGGAGGGGGAGGGGGTCCTCCTCCTCCTCCTCCTCCTTCTCCTCTTCCTCCTCCTCATCCTCCACCTCCTTCCTCCCTCCAACTTATGGTGGTGGTGGTGGTGGAAAACAGGCCTCTCACAGGAGATGGCTGGATGGCAGGCACAATGAAATTCAGAATGGAAGCGTCGTGCAAGCCTGAGGAACGGCATGTTGACGCCCAGTGTGATTCCCATCCACTCCATGCTCGGCATGTCAAACCTGCACCGCAGATCGCGCGGTTCATACTCAAGCAAAAGAATGTGTCAAACAAAGGACATGTGCAAGAACAATAATGCGGCGTAGTTGATCACGGGAGCACCTCAGCAACCACCGGAGGCAGAACGGCCTCTCTGGAGCATTGCACGTGATACTAGACCATAGTAGGCACGTGTCCCTTCGCGCGCACAACGACGACCGACGCAATCAAGGAAAAGAACACCTTGCACTCGTGCGTACCCACGACTCGGATATACTGACCCATTGCTGGATCGGCTCGCAGGGTGAGAAGACGTAGGGGCACAATTTCGGGCCAACGCGGAGAGCCGGGGTGTCCCTGAGCATACAAAGTACGAATTGTCCATTGCTGTCATCTGTGTATCCCTCTCGCTCTCGCTCTCGCCCCCACGCATTGGTTTTGTGTCATTGTTACACATATAATTATCATTAATATATACGCATATATCCCTCTCGGTTCATACCAGGATATAAACTTCTGCACAAACAACTGAACAGACATATGTATATTGGTACATGTAAGGGACTGTTGAATCCCTCTCTGTGTGTCAGTATTTCTCTCGCTCGTTCTATGTAAAGTTAGGTATCGGTGCATGTGTTGAGATGTACCTGATTAAACATACAAGCATATGTTGGATCTCTCTCTCTCTCTCTCGTTATTCTCTCTTCGTATAGTTCGGTCCATGCGTACACAGGTCTGCTTATCTGTATATGTATATCCAGGTGTACACATATAGACATACATATCACTTCGTCTCGTTGGATCTCTCTCCCACTCAATTTTCCTTCTCCGCCAATATACTACATAGTGGTATCCCAGGCACGTCCAGGCCAAGAAGGGGGTGTGCCTTTCTGGACGGTCGCATGCTGCTCACATGCGCACGCGCTTCCAGGATGCCTCGCTGCACCGCTGCGCCTATGAACACTCAGTGGGCCACCAGCTGGCGTGCCCTCTGAGCCCCCTTCTCCACATCGCCCACCGCTCTTCGCCCACCCTCCCCTCCTCTGCCCTCCTCCACCCACAGCCCCTAGACACCTTCGACGAGCTGCATTCTACTTCCACCCTACACTGATGGCATTATGGATGAGCACGCGCAGATGTTGTACACATTACTGCACGCACGTGGAGGCTATGGCTGCGACGGCGATTCCACACAACACGTGAATTTTGGGCACGCCCGAGCAATGAGTGAGCAAGTGGCACACTGCAAACACGCGTCCAGAATTCTCCAGCGGAGGGAACGCGATCTCCACTGGGCTGTCGGGGACCTTGCAGAGCCAGCAAAACGGTGGAGAAGGTAACACAACAGAACAGAGCGACTCCGGGGGGGCCGCGTCCGGATCGACTCTGGACAGCTCATCACCACAACGGAGGATGAACACATCCATGTTTATTCGCGGCATAACGGGCGTCATGGGAGGGGGAGTGGGGGACGGGAAGGGACATAACGTAGCGCCCCCCACCCCACAGACTGTGGTGCCAGACGCACTGCGGCAGTGCCGGGGACGCTCTCAAGGGGGGGAGCGTTACTTTGTGGGGGGGCAAGGGTAGGCAAGGCGAGGGAGCACAACGTTAGGTTCGGTATGTCCCCCTACAGGCGGATTTTGGGCGAAAATTATGCAATAGTCAAAATATGTTCAAAAATGATCAAAAAGAAATCAAAAGGTAGTCCCCAGACTATTTCTGGACAGTTGTTGAATCCTTCTGTAGAAGGACATGCCCGACTTGAGCATAACGCGCATTATGGTCCAGAGGGTGGCACAAAACACTCTCGAAGGGGGTTGTTCTGCTCCGTGCTGCTGCCGCCACCGTGCAGCCAGCTGGAACTTCCGACAGGCGCACAGGGGGCGCCGGCACGAGGCTGCGCAGCACACTGGGAAACGCAAGCCTCGTCCTCCCCGTCCTCCCCCCTCCCTCCTCGTCCTCCTCCTCGTCCTCTTCGTCCTCCTTCTCCTCCTCCTCCTCCTTCTCCTACTCCTCCTCCTACTCCTCATCCTCCTTCTTCCTTCTCCTTCTCCTCCTCCTACTCCTCATCCTCCTCCTCCCCCTCCTCCTCCTCCTCCTCCTCCCCCCTCCCTCCTCTCCTCCTCCTCCTCCTCCTCTTCCTCCTCCTCCTCCTCCTCCCCCTCCTCCTCCTCTTCCTCCTCCTCCTCCTCCCCCTCCTCCTCCTTCTCGTCCTTCCCCCCTCCCTGTCCTTCCCCCCTCCTCCTCCCCGATCCGCGCCGTCCTCTCCAAACACCCCACGTCGTGCGTGCTTGCCTCATGTTCCGGAGCACGGGCCTCAGGAGGTCTCGACCCCTTCCCAAGGGCTGGGTTTTTCGTCTCGAGTCGTGCCTGGACGGTCCCTGGGCCTGGCCAGGGCACCCAGGGGCCGACAATGACAGGTCCTCCCGCCGTGGTCTCTGCTGACGACGCGAGGGGTCCAGGGACCCCCTCTCTGAAGGGGCCCTGGGACACACAAATAAATAGACACAAATGACAGGATTCCGCAGATGTTCCTATATTTTCTGGGTTTTTGCCTTCCCCCCCACTTCCCATAGTTTCCAATATTTTCTGGGGAATCGAGGATTAATTGTGTCTGTGTGTGTTTTTTTCCTTCCTGATTCTTCCCCGTCTCCCTCTCCCTCCCCCGCTGGTTGGAAACAGGGGCCAGGGAACGCCACGGATGCCTCGGAGAGGGCCTGGCGCTGGGGGAAGTGGACGCTGCTGGCGGAGCCTGGCCCAGACAGTCGGCGCCACACGTGAACCCTGGACTCAGGTCGGGCATGTCCTACTACAGGCGGATTTTGGGCGAGAAACATTGCAGATAGTCCCAACAAACGCCCCAACATAGCAAGCAAATACACACAACAAATCGTCCCCAGACAATTGTTTATACTAGTTTGGGAGATACCTCCTGTAGAGGGACGTGCCCGACTGCACCCTGGGCCTCTCGGCCCGGTCCTCCCAGACCCCGCCGCGTCGTGAAGGCAGCACGACGGCGAAAGGCGCTTGGCTACTTCCTTTCGATCCCGATCCCCGGGAAGCCCTCGCCGCGCTCCAGGACCCGCAGAATGGGGCGCGCGCGCAAAAAAAAACGACCCCTGGGAATGTGCGTCGAGACCTCTGGGGGCCCACGCTGGGAAAAATAACACGACGCTGGGGCCCTGGGCCCCCTGAGCTCTCGATCCCTCGCCCCACGGGGTCCCGTGTTTCATCTCGCGGCGCCTTCTTGACGGCCCCGAGGGCCGAACCTGGCCCCGGCGGCCGAAGAAGGGGAGGCAGACCAGCCGCCTCGATGTTTCGGCCCCGAGGCGCCAGGAGGAGGGCGCGCTATGCTCGACTCGTGACCACGAAAAAACACATCCCCAATCCCAAAATCGCGGCTTCACCGAGGATTCGAAGATCGGCCAAAGACTTCGGGGTATGGTTTGCGTTCGTCGTCGTCGCCCTGGTAAAACTCTACCCCAAAATCTCCCTCCCCGAAGTGTCGAGGAGCCTGCATTGTGTCTTGGCCCTCGCGTTTTTTGGGACTGGGCATATATTTTGACTTAGTGAACTCGGACATCTGTACTTGCATGGCTTTCGCCCCTCAACCCAATCGCGCTTGCACCTAAACAGCACCCAGGTGGGGGGCGAAGAAAGGGGCCCTAAAGGAGCCCTTTAGGGCCCCTTGAGGTGCCATTTGAAGTTATTTTCTTCCCCCCCCCCTTTGGGTCAACCCCCATTGCCATACGCCCGAGGATCACGACAGGGTGAACAAAAACATCCCTGAGGAAAGGGACGGGACTTCCAGCGGCCCCGCACATGGATAAAGTCGAGATATATCGCATGCCCGGGAGGCCAGGGCAGAGCATTGCACCAGTCTGGCTCCCTCCTTCTCCTCCTCGTCCTCCCCCTCCCCCTCCTCCTCCCCCTCCTCCTCCTCCTCCTGCTCCTCCTCCTCCTCCTGCTGCTCCTCCTCCTCCTCCTCCTCCTCTTCCTCCTCCTCCTCATCATCATCATCCTTCTCCCCCTCCTCCTCCTCCTCCTCCGCCTCCTCCATTCCGTTCCCTTATAAATCAGTTCTCCCTGTCGCACACTGAGGCCAGCTGCTAGGGCGGGCCGGCCGTTTGGCCTGAGCTTTCCTCATCATGTATGACCCTGAAGCTTCAAACGTGGCAGCAGCTTCACTGATGGAGGGCGGGTGGTTTTCAGAATGTGGCTCTCGCTTTAGCGCCGCGCACATTTGTTTTGGTTTCGTAAATAGAAATCAAGCTTTCCACGGATTGAGGGCGAGTCGTTATCAAAATCGCCTTAGCGCCGCGCACATTCCTTTTACAACAGCTGCGCGAGCTTCACGGATTGAGGGCGGCTCCTCTTCAAAATGTGGCCCTCGCCTGATCGCCGCGCACACTCGTCTCAAAAATGCAAGGGTTGCACGGATTCCCACGATCAAACTACCAGAAATTCGGTTTCGGAGGGATTCACCGGGTGCAGCACTTACGAGAATTCGCGGTGTTGAAGTCCCAGGAACGGCGTTCTGGCGCGATACAGGATCCTCAAGACGCAACGTTTAGCTTGATCCGTGGCGTCGGAATCCCGAGAAAAATGTTTTGGCATGCTGCAGGGTCTGAAAACGGCTGTCTCTAAACGAGGCAAGTTCTTCTGTTGAAATGAACCGTTGTAAGGGGCCGATGGAAAAGGGAGCTTGGGGGAGGGTATACTTCAACTTCGTTGGCGGCTCTTGGGTTTACACTGGTCCTCCTCCTCCTCCTCCTCCTCCTCCTCCTCCTCCTCCTCCTCCTCCTCCTGTCTGGCTGCCCCGAGGGTGGGGGCCTGGCACCTGTTCTCATGGTGTCAGCGCCACACACTCCTCGGGGCACACTGCCAGTGTCAATGGCATGCGGCGGCTGGGGGCAGATAGACCGGCTTTCGTCGTTCTTGCGCCAGCCACGTGGCACTTTGCCCGTGGCAGCGGCGCGTTAGCTGCGCCCGTGACCTGGAGATGGGTACCAGGCACGAGGAGTGTGCATTTGGTTGAGAGGCGGGGCCATGTGGTCCGTAAGTCCCCTGGGGCCTTGTGTCCGCTCACCCTGGGGTACAAACCCAGCTGCACATGCCATCCGATTCGGCAGGGGTGACGGTCGGGAAGTACTGCGCGGTGACGCGGTGAACCGGCTGTCCCCCTACGCACCACGCCGTCTCGGTTGGGCAGCGAGTCGCTGAGCGACGAGGTATCTGCCTTTCCCCTGACCGTCGATGCTGGCGCCTGCGGGCCCCTTCCTCCTGTCTGGGAGGCCGAGGGTGATGGTTGAGCCTCGCTCGCCGCTCACTTCTTGGATCTACGACACTCATGACACTCCTCCTGTCTGGCTCTCCCCCCTTCCCCATCGGCCACCTTTTCAAACAGCGATGGGCCGAGCAAGCGTGCCAGTGAGCCCCGCCCGACTAGCATGCAGTCCAGCTATCCTGCCTGGCCTCGGCACGCCTCCCCCCCTTTTCCATGCGAATAATCAAGATACCCGACTTCATGATTTGTCCGTAGCGTCCGCCCCAAAAGTCTCGCCCCTTCTCCCAGGACAGGCTCTTCGCCCCAGGGACCTGACGAGGCCGAGGCTCAAAATACAAAACATCGGCGACGCGCCCTGGGGTGAAGCGAGCGGGGCCAGGCCTTCCCAAAAGGCGGCGGGTCTTCACAGAAACCCTCGGGCCTCTTGAGAAGCCGTCTGTATGTCTTCGGAGCCGGGCTCTGGCCCTGCGCGCCTGGCTGATGCTGCCCCCCCGGCTGCTCATCGTCGACCTCGTCGGCGTGTGAGCGTCCCCTCTTCCTCTCGGCCGTCCCCCCCCCCCCTCTTTGCTCGCCGGCTAATTCGCTAGATAGTGCCCCTACCTAGCTGCTCGCTGGAGCGGAGTTCGCCGCCTCGCCGCTGACGAGAAAGGATGTCTTCGGAGAGGTCTTCGAGAACTTCCTCATTAGGCCGGAGGCCTTCCGAGCCTCCTAAGGAGGCCCGCCCCCTCTGGCGTTCCCCCCTGGGCTCGCCGCCAGAAAGGCCTCCCGTCGCGGGGTCTCAGGACTCGAGGGGCCGGGCAATGTTTGTATCCATATCCAATGAGCCTGGGACTTTCTTGGAAGGGGCGCCACAAGGTTTAGGTCGGGCCTGTCCCCCTACAGGGGGAGCTTGGACGAAAAATGGATATTAAAAAATACACAACACATGTTCAAGAATACTCCAAAAATAATCCCCCGACTATTCTTAGACTATTTTGGAATATTCCCCCTGTACAGGGACACGCCCGACTTAAACTTTCTTGGAAGGGGCGCCACAAGGCCGAGGCGCACTGTATGTGGATAACAAGCAAGCCTCTGGGGGCCAGATTTGTATCCATACCCAGTGCGCCTCGGGTTTCTGGGGAAGGGGGCCCGAAACTTCAAGCTGCAGAAATATGTCGCCGCGCCGTTTGTACTCGGCGCGCCCAAGTGGACGACGCCGATATCACGGTAAACCCACGGCAAACCCTGCGCCCCGCGCCCAAGTAGACGACGCCGGCACCGCGGCAAGCCCCATGGGAAACCCACCGCGCCCGAGGCAGCGTTTGCCCTGGTGGCCGCGGCGCGTTCCCCAAGACGGAAGGCCGCGCGTCGGAACGAACGGCGCGGCGACATATGGACACGATGCCGGCGATGCACCGGAGATGCATCGTCGACGTGGGTGATGCATCGCGACGTCAGCGATAAGTCGGGCCTGTCCCCCTACAGGGGGATTTTCGACGAAAAATAAGAAAAAATACCCCCAAAACTAATCAAAACATAATCCAAAAATAGTCTGGGGACTATTTTTTGACCTTTTGGGGTATGTTTGGGGTATCTTGTATTGCTCGTCGAAAATCCCCCTGTAGGCGGACAGGCCCGACCTAACGTCAGCGTGGAGAACATCGGGCTCCCCACATCGAGCCGCATCGCCGATGCATCGGCGATGCTGCGCGATCCTCCGACCGCGCCCGCCAGGACCCCACCTGGAGGCCTCGAGGTCTGGGGCGAGGACAGGCAGCCACCGCCTTGGGGGGGCCATGGGCAGGCAGCACGTTTATGTCGGGCCTGTCCCCCTGCAGGGGGAGCTTCGACGAAAAATAAATAATACCCCAAACATTTTTTTTGTTAACAATAGTCCCCAGACTATGTTGGCACTGTTTTTGGATTATTTTGTGGGTATTTTGTATTTTTCGTCGAAAGTCCCCCTGTCGGGGGCCAGGCCCGATATAACAGTACGTTTAGGACGGGCATGTCCTCCTACAGGCGGATTTTCTTAGAAAAAAAATCCCCGACAAATTATCAAAAATTCGCCAGATGAGCACGACAAATCGTTCCCAGACTCTTCCTTAATCATTCTTGCATGCTCCTCCTGTAGAGGGACATGCCCGACTTGGGCCAACGTGAGACGGTAGAGGGAAACAATTGCTGAACACTCCCCCTCCCCCCCAACCTCACTGTTGGCACGCGCGGGGGAGAATGCGGTTGAAGTGCAGCTCATCAGACCCACCGCCAACTTTGAACATCGGGGGGAGAGGGGGAGCCGTTGACACCTGAATGCAGCACGACTGTGCGCTAATCTGTTCCGAGGCCTGGATGTCTTGGGTGAGGACAGAAGGCCACCTCCTCGGGGGGGGGCCATGGGCCGGCAGCCGGCGCGGTGCGGCCCGTCGGCGGCGCCCGCCCCGAGAGCTGGCCCCCGCCAGACCTGCCGCGCGCGCCTCGCGGGGGGTCCGCGAGGGCAGACGCGCCCAGGGCTGGGAGCTTGGATGAAGGGGCCCTGGGACACGCAAATCAATACACACAAAGAAAAAGATGCCCCATATGTTCCCACATGTTCCAGGTTTTTGTATTCCCCCCCCACTTCCCATATATTTTCCTATATTTGCTGGGGGATCGACGATTCATTGTGTCTGTGTGTTTTTTCCCTCCTGATTGGAAGCGGGCACCAACACCAACACAGAAGGGCTGCCTCCAAAAGTGGAAGCTGGTCCGAGATGTCGGTGCCGGTGGCGATCTTTCGGTCACCCAGGAAGCCCGAATAGTACCAGCATCACTTAACGGGCGAAGAACGGTATAACATAACTTTTTCGCTGTCGGGGGCGCCTGTCCCAAGGCGGCTGGAAAGTTTATACCCCCCCCATCCCACTCTACCTTATCCTCCTTATCCTCCTCCCCCCTCCTCCTCCTCCTCCTCCTCCTCCTCCTCCACTATCCTCCCCTTCCTCTCTCTTCCCCGTCCCCCGCCATGAGAGGGGCTGATGTCCGAGTCGAGCCCGTTCCTTCGATGCCGCTGGGCGCACCCCCTGGTGGGCTCGATGGCCACGCTCTTTTTTCGGGAGCGGCAAAGAGGGGGGTGTCCAAGAGGGGGGGGTGCAAATCATGACGGGCGGCATGTGCGCGGCCCAGCGGGGGGGCCTGGGACGTAATAAAACAAGAAGAGGCGCCATGAGATCTGAGGAAAAATCATGGCCCGCGCCATGATATCCACCCCCCTAGTCATCACCCCCCTCTTTTCCGCCCCCGATTTTGATGTGGCGCATGTCGATGGCCCAGACTCCGGGAAAGCTTGGCAGCCGACTTTGCGGGGTCTGACCCGCGATGTTCGGAGGAGCAGGGTGGAGGAAAAGCGGATGGAATAGGGATGAGTCGGCGGTGGACAAACCTCCCTTTAGTAGACCTCCCCTTAGTGACAACGGCCTGGGACCGAAACCGACGGAGCTGGACCCGCAAAATGACGGCCGCGACGCCCCCTCGCGAACCGAAAACGGCCGATTCCTTAATCGACGTGTCAGGGTAGGAGGTCTGTCCACCCCCGAATGAGGAGGAGCAGCAGGGGACATACGCCGAGGACGACGACGAGGGCGGAGGAGGAGGCGGAGAGGAAGCGGCACGCATGGCCAGACTCGCCCTGGGGATCCGCCGCCTCTCCGCGGCAGAGGGCCGGCAGCGACGCCGCAGGGCGTCGAGGAGGCGAGGCGGCGGGCGCACCCGGAACTGCCGCCCGATGAGCTTGGCGTACGTCACGGGCGAGACGGCGCCCTCGACGTGGTCTGGTCCTGCGCGGCAGCGGAGAGGAAGGACGACTTGGGAAGCAACTCCTTTCTTTTTTCTTCCTGCCCCACTCTCTCCGACCGCGCCGCTGACAGACTGCAAACACCTGGACCTAGCTGTTCATCCCCGACAGCTCCGCTGACGGGAAAAAACGCACCTAGCTGTTTATACCCGACAGCTCCGCTGACGGAAAGCAAGCATCTAGCTGCTTATACCCGACAGCTAGATGCTTGCTTTCCGTCAGCGCCAGGAAGGACGACCTGGGAAGCAACTCCTGGGGCGTCGTCGCCACAACGGTGGAGACCGATGAAGCGGCCACTGAGCCCGCTGGGGCCGCACTCGGCACAGGAGAGAAAGGCAGAGCAGGCCAGGCGGAGCGGGATCGAGCAGGATTGAGCAGGGCCTTAGCGGGATCGCACGAGGTGGGGCCAGTCTTCGACCAAGCTTCTCTTGAGGGAGATGTTTTTTGTTTTACTTTTTTTTGTTATTATTATTTTTGAGGGAGAAGCCTTCTGGGAAGGCCCGCCGCCCTCTTCGGAGGCCTGCCCCCCCTCTCCCTTCCCCCCTGGGCTCGCCGCTGCATCTATCCGGGTCGGGAACCCACTCGATCATTGGAGTCGGAAGGCGCCTCAAAGAGGCTTATATAGAACCCGAGGATAAAAACACTCACTCTAAACGACCGGGTGGGTCGGGCGAAAGGGGGGGATAGCAAAGAGGGAGTTTGAGAATCAGCTCGCGTAGCTGATTTTCCCGGCGCCTCCCGGCGCCGGACGCGGCCATGTATCGAGGAATGGGCCCCTCGGTGGGGCCGAAGCCAGCTGCACGCAGCAAATTTCGTAACCCCCCCTTTCCCAATCCCCCCCTTTCGCCCGGCCCGAGTCTATCCGTGTCCGCGCCCTCGCGGTCTGGACTCCGAGGCGCGATCCCGCGGACGCGCTGCAGTCAAAAACCCTAATACGGACGCGCGGTAAGGACGCAAGACCCTTGGAAGCCGAAGTTGGGATTTTTCTGGGGCGGCGGGCGACGAAAACCCCAAGGACGCAAGAGCAAGGAAGAGCAAGGACGCAATGGTACCCTGAGCAGAGTCGCGCGTCCTTATTCGGGTTTTTGACTGTATCGCCCTGATACGTTCCGCGCGGGCCATCCAGGAGAACATGCCGCGTCCAGCGGGTCGCGGCCCAGAGGCCCGGGCCCGCGAGGCCGCGGATCCCGACATGTTTTTTGCGCCCGCGGGAAGGAAGGATACCGCCGCGCAGCTGCGCGCGCCTACCAAAACAGCAGCGCGAGGAGGGCTGCACCTGAGCCCTATCAGCGAGATGGGTATGCTAGCTCTCCGTTGTCCGAGTCCAAAGAGTCGCCAGACGAGCCGGAATCTGCATCTGAGCCGACCAGCGACAGGCGCACTCTTGCAGTGAACCTTCGCCTGAAAGAGGAAGCGAAAGCGCCGCATGCGAAGGAGAACAAGGGAGACAACCATAGCAAGAGGACGGCTCCAGGGGAGCTGTACGAATATAGGGGAACAAAAAGTGGCATAAACATAAAAACTCGGAGGTCCGCGCGGATTTCTCGGATCGGCGCTGGACCCCCCCTCCCTGGCGCGCGGAGCGCGCCAGAGGCGGCGCCGGAGGCGCCGCCGGGGGGCCCCAGCGCCGATCCGAGAAATCCGCGCGGACCTCCGAGTTTTATGTTTATACCACTTTTCATTCCCCTAGAAAAAATAATTTCTTTACGAGAGTAGCGCCCGTGCACCGCACCAAGGCCGGACTAGCTTCGGGCCCCGCTCCAAAAAACGGTGCGGTGCTTCGCTCTTCGGCCCTGCGGGCCGAACAGCACCTGTGCGGCCCACGACTCCCGGGTCTAGAGCGGACGACGCCTCTGTTGAAGGGGCCCTGGGACACACAAATAAATACACACAAATAAAAACACGCCCCATATGTTCCAATATTTTCTGGGCTTTTCTCTTCCCCCCCACTTCCCATATTGTCCCATATTTTCCATTGGGAATCGACGATACATTGTGTCTGTGTGTTTCTTTCCCTCCTAATCTGTAGGCGCCAACACGGCGCATTGCACACAGGTCGCCAGCTGATTCTCCTGCGACGCCGCTGCCGCATCGCAGCGCAGGCGGAGTAGACCGGGGCGGCCAGAGGGCCAGGCCCTTGCACTCGGCCAGCCCAGCGCGACCAGCTCATCCACACGACACTCAGATAGAGCAAAAACCATAAAGAAAGAGAGAGAAAGAGAGAGAGAGAGAGAGAGAGAGAGAGACGGGACGCACAAAGCCATGCTAGTACTAGATGTTCTCCTTGGAGGCGCGCGTCCGACCCGAACATCTGGTATACCCATCTTGTAAGAGGTCGTTTCCCGAGCGGTGTGGCCAGAAAGCGCCCGCCACGACGCACACTAAGATGTATCGAATCGTATCGTCCCTGGGGGGGCGACGCACATTTAGTATAAGTATGTTGGGGCGGCGCCGAAGAGAGAGGCAGAGAGAGAGAGAGAGAGATCGCGAAGCCCTCAAGCGACGCACCTGTGCACGTCGGACGCCGACGGGGCGCACGATGGGGGTCCCAGAGCGCGTGGGCCCGCACGAATCTTGTCCTACGATCTCGTGGCAAATCCTGCCGGAGCCTTGAGCGCACCCGTAAGGCAAAGCGGACTGCTTGCCATTGACAAAAACTGTCGCCGTCGGAGCCAAACACCAAACAAAGTGCCGTAGAGTACAGCAAGCCGTTTACGTATGAAGTGGTGTTGAAACCAGTAGCGTTTGGTCGGGCACGTCCCCCTACAGGGGGATTTTCGACGAAACATCAAGTCAAAAAATAATCCCAAGTCAAAATTCTCAAAACAAAGCATCCCCATACTACGTTTAGCAATTCTTGGATATTCCTTCTGTATAGGGATATGCCCGACTTACCGGTAGCATGGCCGGCGTCGGATCTGAGGTCGGAGTTTCGTACGTGGCGCAGGCGCTGGAGACGAAGCTGGAGCAGGAATCGGATATAGATTTGGAATCGCAGCAAGCGGCCGAAAGGGAATCGGAGCTGGAGTCGGAACCCGAGGTCGGAATCGTAGCCGAAACTGCCGATGGGAAGATAAGATAGTTGGATCTGGAGTCGGAGCCGGAGTCCGAAGAGGGGTTGGAGCAAAAGTCGGAGCTGGGGCAGGAGGGTCGGAACCGTAACAGGCGTCAGGAGGGTGGTAAAGCGAGAGCCAGACCAGGAGCAGCGAGCTGCAAGAGGTGCCCTAGATGACCAGGAGGCGGAAATGGCGTCGGAGCCGGGGCACGCGCACGAAAGGCTCCCGGAGCTGGAGTGGGAGCCAACTCTGGAGTCGGAGCTGCCCAGAGCTGCAGCAACAGTAGCCGGTAAACTGGTTGCAAGGTGTTCGCCGCTGGCCATGGGCGCGCTGCTGTCCATGGCCGCGGGGTGCAGGATGGTGAGTAGAAGTCGCATCTTGCCCCTCCCGTCGATATCATAATCCCTCCCTGCTGCTGCTGCTTGCCCGCCTGGTTCAGAGCAAACCGAGATCCTCGCACTCTGGCTCCGTACACAGCCGAGCTTGGACGCGTCGGTCGCAGCCACTGTCGCTGTCGCGGTCGCCCGATAGCGGTGGCCCCGACGCGGGGGCTGCGGCGGTGGTGGCCGTGCCGGGACACGCCCTGAGTTCACCAAGCCACGAGGGTGCAAAGCCGACTTGCCTGGCTGCTCCTGCGGGGAGGAAGGGCTGCGCTCAGGGGATACTGCAGCAACGCTCGCTGATGTGGTGCTAACCAAGTGTGGTGCTAAGCCGGGGGGGAGAAAAAGGGAGGGGGGTCCAGCTGAAAGGGGTGGTACAATATATCTATATATGTTGGACAGTGTATTGCAAAAATACTGCGCCAGAAAATTGTATTGCATTTGCATTGCAACTTAGGTATTGCACGCGGCAAATCAACAATACATCTGCGCTCCGGAATGTATTGCACCCCCCTAAATCTATTGCAAGTCAACAAATTAATCGCACCAAATGTATTGCACCACCCCCTTTTCGCTGGACCCCCTTCTGGGTCAACCAGAACGAGAACCGACGATCAATGCTATGTGTGTTCTTCCGTTTTTGAAGACCTCCCGACGCCACCGCAGACGACCTAGGACCTCCAGAGACCTCTGGGCAGACCTAGGGAGACTCCTGACAAGGGCAGGACGGAGGTGGAGACCCAGAGGGACGGGAAGGTTGAGCGCAGGAGCAAAAGGCGCGTTACCGCCCTTTCCGCGGGCCTCGTCCTCGTCCTCCTTCCTCCCCCTTCCTCCTCGTCATCCTCGTCCTCCCCAGAATTCCGACGTCGAAATTCTCTTGCAGAATTCCGACGTCGAAATTTTCTTGCAGCACGATTCCCTGGAGGTCTTGGCCTCTTCCCCGGGGCCAACCGTTGATCCCGAGTCGTTTTCTCGACGGTCCCCAGCAAGGTGAGTTGTTTCTGTATTCGGCGTTTCGACATTGGGATGAAAAGGGGGGGGGAAGGGGGGGGGGCCTGGCCCCGGACCTCTTCTCAGTGCGTCTCTTTGCAGCAGCGCGTCCCTTATAAGGAAGGCGCCCACCTCCTCGAAACAGGCGCCAAAAACAGCCAAGATCTACTCCAGGGGGCGGGGGGGGGCCCGCGCCGATCGGCAAAACAAAACATAAGAAAACGATCACAAGGGCTCCCAGGAAGCGGAAAACGCCAAGTGTTAGGTCGGGCGTGTCCCCCTAGGCAGGGGTATTTTGGGTGAAAACATATATCTACTCTGAAAATCGTCCCCAGGCTAGTGTCTTACTATTTTGGACTGTTCCTCCTGTAGAGAGACATGCCCGACTTACGCCAAGTGCTCGGTCGCAACGCCGCGGCTCCGCGCCTGGGTCGAAGGCAGCCGAGGGACCCGAGGGGGCCGAAACGGGCACAAAAGGAGCGGGATCGGCGATGGCGCAGGTGAGGGGGACAGAGCAGGAAGAGGAGGAGGAGGAGGAGGAGGAGGAGGAGGAAGAGGAGGAGGAGGAGGAGAAACAGGAGGGGCAGGAGAAGAAGGAGGGGGGAGGAGGAAGGAGGAGGAGGAGGAGGAGAAGGAGGAGGAGAAGGAGGAGGAGGAGGAGGAGGAGGAGGAGGGGGAGGAGGAGGAGGAGCAGGAGGAGGGGGAAGATGGGGAGGAGGAGGAGGAGGAGAAGGAGGAGGAGAAGGAGGAGGAGGAGAAGGAGGAGGAGGAGGAGGAGGAGGAGATGATGATGATGATTATGATGATGATGATGATGATGATGAGGAGGAGGAGGAGGAGGAGGAGGAGGAGGAGGAGGAAGGGGAGGAGGAGGGAGGAGGAGGGAGGAGAAGCAGGAGGAGCAGGAGGAGGAGGAGAGGGAGGACAGGTCGCCTAAGCCCTTCGGAGAAACCCTCCACGGGGTAGGGAGACAGAGGGCGCCCAGAGCGTGAAGTCCGCGAACGTGTGTGCCAGAACACTGGCGCGCACAGCAAGGAGACGTGGAAACGAAGCCCAAGGAAGCGAGCAGCACCCGACGCCAGGGGGCCACGATCTCAGGGTGTTGCCAGGGCTGAAACTGTTTGCGATCTTTGCTTTTTCAATCACATGGCCCCTGTCCTGCCTCTCGTTCTCGTCCTCTTCGCTGGCCGCGATGGGTCCTCTGTACTCGAGGGTCTCCAGGGTGTACCACTCCTCTCGCGCCTGAGGCGGAAACAATACTATCAGTACGCCCTCTGGCTTCTTCGTCCCTGAGGAAAGGAGAGAGGGGGATGGGGCGGAGAGGAGGGAGAGAATGGGACGGAGGGAGTGCCAAATGCTGTCCAAGACGACGACGAATGTTGGGTGTTCTGACCACTTGCTTTGACTTGCGCAAGCTTGAGGGGACCTCTTGGGGGATCAGGGCTCACGGTCGCACTGAAGCTTACCAAGACAAGAGGGAAGGGAGGGATGGAATGAAGGATGTGTGAACGAGAAACCGGGTAAAAGAGAAGGACCGTGAATGCGAGGGGGGCTTGCGTCCGTCCGCCCATGTGTGCCACATTCCCGGGGGATTCCATTCACCCTGGTCTGTTCAAAACCTTCGTTTGTCCAACCATCCTGTGGTGTTGGGTCTTCGCTTTGAAGAGACAGCGCCCCGCGTTCCTTCTCCTCCTCCTCCTCCTCGCCCCTCGTCCCTCCCTGCCTCTGCCCACAGCACGTTCACAATGCCGCCACACCCAATGCAACTATTCGTGGCCCCACAGGGAGCCCCGCCGAAGGCCTCAGTGGCTGTGTCCACATGCGTCTCCGCCAACGATTGCAGCAAACCGCTCACACGCTTCGCGGCCCCACGTGGCACTCCACCGAAGGCCCCAGTGGCTGTGACCACATGCGTCCCCGCCACTCATTGCGGCACACCCCTCACGTTTCGTGGCCCCATAAAAGGGCTCCACCGAAGACCCGTGTGGTTGTGACCGCATGCGTCCCCACCACCCATTTCGGCACACCACTCACACGTTTCGCGGCCCCCTAGGGCACTCCACCGAAGGCCCCAGCGGCTGTGACCACATGCGTCCCCGACGCCCATTGCGGCACACCCCTCACACGCTTCGTGGCCCCAGAGAGGGCTCCACCGAAAAATCCGGTGGCTGTGATCGCATGCGTCCCCGCACATCGAAGACTTCCCCAGGGGACAGATCCACAGCAGGAAAAGGAAAGCAACGGAGAGAATACATCCTCGGACTTTTCTACTCCTCATCCCTCTCCCTTGCACCCCTTTCCAATTTGGGCTGCATGCTGTCACTACTCTCGGAACCGCCTCCCCACGACCCCGAGAGGCAGTCGACATGAATATCTGAGGGCAGGCTGGGCTCCGAAAACTCATCGGCCCTGTCGGTGTGCGTCTGTGAATGTCCACGCCCACCTTGCCCCCGTGGTTCGCCACGGCCGCCCACCGCGCTCTGGCCCGGCGCGCCTGGCTGCCGCCGCCCGCCGGCTGCTCGTCGTCGAAGTCTTCGGCGTCTGAGCCTCCCTCCTTCTTCTCGTCGGCCTCGCCCCTCCCTCCTAGCACGCCGGCCAATTCGCTAGTCAGTGCCCCTACCTAGCTGTTGCGCTGGTGCGGATTCCGCCGCCTCGCCGCTTACGAACAAGATTCTGTGTGTGTGTGAGGCGGGGTGCTGGGGTGGCCGTCCTGGGGCGGATCTGGCAGATGCGCTTCCACTGGACCTTCTCACCCCTCTTTCCATGCGGCCACCTCCAAATTCGCCCAACCAGTGTTGAGCATCGTTTAACCGATCCCCATCCCCAGCGGCGTGGCCTGGGCCCCACTGACCGATGTACCCCCCTAGATGGGGATGTAAGCCGTCCCCTGCGGATTTCGAGGGGTGCATCCCTAACTGGGGTGGTACTTTGGTGGGGGTCTCGAAGGGCATGGGGATGGGGATGGGGATGGGGATAGGGGATCGGTTAAACGATACCGATTATCACCCCCTTTCCCTGCGGCCACCTGGGGCCCTCCAAACTCGCACACCCGGTGTGTACCGACCCAGGCCGCAGTCGAGTCGGAGGTTGAGCAGGAACCGACCGTCCCAGCATTCCTAGAGGCATACCACGAAATGTCCTCAGAACCCCCAGATGTTCTGAGAGCAATGTTCTTAGAACAACCCGACGTGTGAAATCAAGACAGTCCCAGCCAGAACTGCTCTAAGAAAATATCTCGCTGAACCCACAATCGGTCATTAGAACTCTCTCTGGTGGGCCTATGGGTGAGCCGGGACGCTTCGCCACTGCTCGAGGCGGGGAGCCTCCGTTCTCGTTGACCCCTCCCCCGCGGAGAGGTGGACGGGCGACCCGGGGGCCCCCGCGGGGGGGGGCAGGGCGCGAGGGGGCCCGCCGCCGCCGCCCCCTCCCGGGAGCGACTCGCGCGGTCTCGGGGCGAGCCCTGGGCGTCTTGGGGCCAACCTCGGGGCCAACCTCGGCCAGCGTCGTCAATCCTGGGGCTCTCGTGGGCCGTCTTGCAGGGCGGCGAAATCTAGACCTGCAGGCCCATCCTGGATCTGGCAGGGGAGCAATGGCTGTGTATATATGTTTCGTCGCCCGATCTTGGAGACCCTCGGGGGCAGGGGAGAAGGAGGAAAAGCAGGGGAAAAACGGGACGCCTGCAGCGTCTTGTACGTCTCCCCGAGGAGCTTCACCAGCTCGTTCGCGGCCTCGCTGCCTGGCTTGCCGGGGAAACGCCCGACAGCCCCAGCAGCTGCCACGACTTTGACGCCCGACCCAGAAAGACGCACCTGTTCTCTCTCTCTCTCTCGTGTTGTTTTGTTTCTCTCTCTCTCTCTCTCTCTCTTTGTTCTCTCTCTCTCTCTCGGCGCAGCCCATCCCATCGTCTCCTTCGCTCATCACGCTCCAAATTATGTACTGTTCCTGCCACTCCTCCTGCTGCACCGTCCCCGTGCTGCGCATCACCCTCACCCTCTCCCGCCTCCTGACCCTAGTCAGTATCAGCATCATCATCATAACCACCACCACGACCACCACCACCACCATCATCATCATCATCATCATCATCATCATCAGCATCATCATCATCAGCATCATCATCATCATCGTCGTCATCGTCATCATCGGCAGCATTATCAGCATCATCATCAGCATCCTCATCAGCATCAACATCATCATCGTCGTCATCATCAGCATCATGACCATCACTATTATCATCGTGGTCAAGATCATGAGCAACATCATCAGCGTCATCATCTTAATCATCATATTGAAGACACTCGGCCAGGGAGAGGGTCTGGAAGGCAAGCATAATGACGTCGGATCGCGACAAGGTGGCGGATGGGCTATAAATGTCGGAGTTCTTACTCGGAGAGTACTTGCTGCACCAAAATGTGTGTTTCTCATGAAGTCCAGCATAAGGCCATGAATGCCAAGATGATCGATGGAATGCACAGATGGGCGACGCAATCCATATCGACATCGATCCCCCAGAAGCCGACATCCTCGCTTGACCAACTCTCATCAGAGTGAGGGGGGCAGACGGTCCAACAATGGCCCGGGGTGTGTGGCTGAAATGCGCTTCCGCATGGGCTGCTTCTTGCTGCGTTGTGCTGTATGGTTGCTGTCGTTGTCGCCCCCGCGACCCGTCCCGCGACTCACCCCGCGACCCGTCCGCGAACCAACTGCGACCTAGCCACGACCCTCCGGCGACCCATGCGCGATCCACCCGCAACCCAGGCCAGCGGCCCACGGCCTGCGGCCCGCGCTCTTGCCCCACACACGCACCGGACACAACCAACGAGCAAGCACAGAACTCTCAGCCAGCGCGGGCCCCAGCCAGGAGAGCACTGCCCTGCAGTCTGCGTGGTGCAGCATGCGTGGTGCACGCTGTGTGGTGCAAGCTGCGTGGTGAGCGCTGTGTGGTGTAAGCTAGGTCATGCTGCCTGCGTGGACAAGCCACTCGGTGTTGGCTGTGTGGTGCACGCCATGGTGTGCAGTGTACGTGGTGCAAGCTATGCGTTGCGAGCTACGCCGTGCAAGCTGGGAAGGCCACGCTGTGTTGTGCACTCTACCGCGGCGCAGACAATTTCGGTGCAAGAGATGTAGCGCAAGGAGTGTAGTGTGAGCTGTGCGGTGTCATCCACGTGGCGCAATTGATCGTAGCGACCACGAGGCGCCCGCGGGCGGGCACCAAGCGAACCGCGGCATGCGCCCCCAGCGCGGGGCGCCAACGAAGCGCCCACGGGCGGGCAGCAGGCGAAACCTCGGCATTCCCACCCAGCGCGGGGGCGCCCTCGACGAGGCGCCTCGACGAGGCGCCCTCGGGCGGCCACCACGCGAAGCCTCGACACAACCCCCAAAAAACGCGGGAGCGCCCACGGGCGAAGCCTGTGGGGCACCCAACCAACTCTTGAAGCAAGCCACACGAGCACCCCGAAGTGCAAGCACTGCCTGGCGGAAAGAAACACGCCTGCGGCGGACTGCTTGCGCCGACGAGGGAAAGCCAGCGCCCACGGCGGGCTGCTGTACAGTGGCCTCCGAGCCTCGCGGTCCGCCGACGCCCCTCTCGGCGACTCGCCCACATCGCGCCTTGCAGAAGAATCGGCACCTGCGGCGGACTGGCTGCGTCGGAAAAAAAAGACCGCCGCCTGCGGCGGACATCGGCGCTCGCGCCCCGCAGCCCCGGCAAGGCATCCCAGGCGCCCGCCGCACTCTGATCCGCAGTCGCGAGGGTTACGCAAAGACGCCCTGCGAAGATCTACCTCTATGCGGCCGCACCTCACCGTAGCGTTCGTAGCACGCGACGCTTCATCGACGCGCGGAGCCGTGCGCACGCTTGGGCGTGGCACTGCTGACGCACCCTGTGAAGCTCGAGGCCTCGCGCTTCGACGAAGCTCCACGCCGAGCCTCGAGCAGTTTGCACTGGCGTGGCTTCCCCTGGGAGCTGGGCACGGGCATCGGCCCCGCCAGCCCCAGACCCCCGACGTCGTGATGCTGCTCGCAAGGTGGACCCCCAGTGGTCTCGACCCCTTCCCCGAGACTGGCTTGTCATTCTTGGGCCGTTTCGTGACGCTCCCAGGGCCCCGTGAGGGCCCCCAGAGGCCGAAAATAGCTCAAAACCGTCCGTCGTGTTTTTTTCGCGACGCGTGCCGGTCTGGGGATGCCCACTGGCATCGGCCTGGCCAGCCCCTTCTGCGTGCTGAAGCGGGGCACCGCTGCAGCCAGGGGGCGCTCGACTCGACTGCATGGCCCCAGTAGGCACGTTCTCCCTGCAGTCCAGCGTGGGGGTTCGGACCTCGCTGAGGACGGCATCGTCGTCAATTCCTTGAAGTCCGACGTGGCGCGCTGATTGAAAAAGCGTCGGCTCATGCCTGGCCCTGCTGACGACCCCACAGGGGCGCCTCAATGAAAGCGGCCGCAACCAGTGTGTGATGAGTGCGAGGAAATACAGATAGAGAGAGAGAGAAAGAAAATCTAAACAAACAGGAGAGAGAGAAGAGAGAGAGAGAGAGAAGAGAGAGAGAGAGAGACAGAGAGAGAGCGAGATAGCGAGAGAACAAACAAACAAACAAACAAACACACAAACAAACAAACAAACAAACAAAAACATACTATAGCAAACACAACAAAGAGGAGGGACAGCGAGAGAGTGAGAGAGGAGGAGAGAGAGAGAGGGAGAGAGAGAGAGAGAGAGAAAGAGAGAGAGAGAGAGAGTTGAGAAAACAAAGGGAAACAGGATAGGGGCGGGTAGCAGGGATAAGTATGACGACTCGAAGAAGGGGGAGGTCGCGGAGGATTGAAGAGAAGGAGGAGGAGGGAGGAAGCGAGGAGAAAGAGGAGGGGGAGAAGCGGGAGGGAGAGAAGATGATCAGGACGAGGGCGGGGATGACCCTACAGGGGGATTTTCGGCGAAAAAAACAAAGATACCACACAAATAATCAAACAATAATGCAACAATAGTCTGGGGACTGTTTTTTGAATCCCACCAGCCCTTTAGGGCGTCGGTGGTTTAACGAGTTTCCTCTTCCACCCCTCCTTCTTCCCCTTCGGGGAGGGGTTTACCCCTCCCCCTACCCCCTCCCCGCTGACCTGGACAGGAGGGGCGGGGAGCGGTCAGAGCGTCCAAAACGGCCTCGCCGAGGAAGCCAACATCATTGATTTTACTAAGGTTTTGGCCCCATTTTGGCCTTCTGAGGGGGCAGCGCTAATTGAAGCTCCCCTCTTCTTTGAAGCCAGAATCATTGATTTTACTAAGGTTTGGGCTCCATTTTGGCTTTCTGAGGGGGCAGCGCTAATTAAAGCTCCCCTCTTCTTTGAAGCCAGAATCATTGATTTTACTACGGTTTTGGCCCCATGTTGGCCTTCTGAGGGGCCAGCGCTAATTAAAGCTCCCCTCTTCTTTGAAGCCAGAATCATTGATTTTACTAAGGTTTGGGCTCCATTTTGCCATTCTGAGGGGGCAGCGCTAATTAAAGCTCCCCTCTTATTTGATCGATTTCCTCCTAGATGGCCCCAAGAAGCGCCCAGGAGGCACCAAGAGGCCCCAAGATGGCCCCAAGATGGCCCCAAGAGGCCCCCAGGAGGCCCCCAAGAGGATCCCAAACGGCCCAAAGAGGCCCTCCCCCCCGAGGCACCCAAGACGCCGAAAAGCCCCTCAGGACGACCCTCTACTCGCCTGGGCGTCGTTTCTGGACGGGCTGGTGGGGATACGCGAAGCGTCTAGAATCCCACCAGCCCTTTGGGCGTGAGTGGTTTAGAGAGCTCTCTATGTTCGCAACCCCCCTTCTTCCCCTTCGGGGAGGGGTTTACCCCTCCCCCTACCCCCTCCCCCTGGGCCTGGAGAGGGCGCCTCGCGGGTGGTCAGAGGGGTCTTTTTCGACTCCTGGGAGGGCTAAAAAACGACACCCCTCACGAGGATTCTGGCCCCGACGGGGGGAGGGAGAAAAAAATGCTCTCCTCTTCTTTGAAGCCAGAATCATTGATTTTACTACGGTTTTGGCCCCATGTTGGCCTTCTGAGGGGCCAGCGCTAATTAAAGCTCCCCTCTTCTTTCAAGCCCAAATCATTGATTTTACAAAGGTTTTGGCACCATTTTGCCCTTCTGAGGGGGCAGCGCTCATTAAAGCTCCCCTCTTCTTTGATCGATTTCCTCCAAGATGGGCCCAAGAAGCGCCCAGGAGGCACCAAGAGGCCCCAAGATGGCCCCAAGAGGCCCCCAGGAGGCCCCCAAGAGGCCTCCAAGAGGCCCCCAAGATGCCCCCAAGAGGCCCCCAAGAGGCCCCAAGAGGCTCCCCCGAGGCACCCAAGACGCTCCTGGAAGCCCCTGGGGCCGCCAAGAGGCCCCCAAGACGCCCCAAACGGCCTCCAAGAGGCTCCCAAGAGGCCCGAAGAGGCTCCCCCAAGGCACCCAAGACGCTCCTAGAAGCCCCTGGGGCCGCCAAGAGGCCCCCAAGACGCCCCAAAAGGGGACGAGGTGCCCGAACGCCTCACGCCACGAGGAGCCCGAACGACTCACACCAGGACGAGGGGCCCGAACGACTCACACCACGAAGAGCCCGAACGACTCACACCAGAAGGAGGGGCCCGAACGACTCACACCAGGACGAGGCGCCCGAACGACTCACACCACGAGGAGCCCGAACGACTCACACCACGACGAGGGCCCCGAACGACTCACACCACGAGGAGCCCGAACGAGTCACACCAGGAGGAGGGGCCCGAACGACTCACACCAGGATGAGGGGCCCGAACAACTCACACCACGAGAAGCCCGAACGACTCACACCAGGACGAAGAGCCCGAACGACTCACACCACGAAGAGCCCGAACGACTCACACCAGGAAGAAGGGCCCGAACGACTCACACCAGGACGAGAAACCCCAAACGACTCAAACCACGAGGAGCGCTTTCTCTCCCTCCTCCTCCGCCTCGTCCTTCTCCCGCTCCCCCCACAAGGAGGATGTACAAGGAGGCGGGAGGAAGGAGGAACAGGGGAGATATGCGGGGCCAAGCGGACACACGCCTGAAAAACACGACTGTCGGCATGCTTCGCAAGAATTGCTGCTGTGAGATGGGCTGGTGGGGATACGCGAAGCGTAAAGAATTTTTGTTGTACCTTTTCGGTGTATTTTTGGTGTGTTTTATTTTTCGTCGAAAATCCCCCTGTAGGGGGACAGGCCCGACTTAAGCTTACAGCGAGGGCGCGGCCGCAAGAAACCCTCGCCAGAAACCCGGCCCTGCGGACCCGCGCGGCAGGTGCGACTCGGAGGAAGACCGGGGCGCCCCGAACGCAGCAGCTTCTTCAGCGGCCGCGGGACGCCACCGCGCAGCGCGAGGAGCGAAGAAACCCAGGGCATCCCGACGAAACTCAGATGGTTTCTTGCCGCGCGCCCTGACTGTGCACTCGGGAGCGGCCAAGAGGGGGGTGTCCAAGAGGGCGGGTGCAAATCATGACCTGCGGCATGTGCGCGGCCCAGCGGGGGGGCCAGGGACGTAATGAAATAAGAAGAGGCGCCATGAAATCTGGGGAAACATCATGCCCCCCGCCATGATATCCACCCCCTCCCTAGTCATCACCCCCCCCCCTTTTCCGCCCCCGATGTACGGCCAGGCACGGTCGACGAGCGTGTCGCGCTGGCGGCCCCGGCGACGCGCTGTGCCCTGCGAGTGGGCGGCGTGTCGCTCCGCTCCGCGGGAGCGTGGGGGAAAGGCTCGGGGCACCGACGCTCGGGGACTGGGACGTGGGTATTGAGCAGGGACCGGCCGTCCCGGCATTCCTATAGCCCTATACCACGCTACGAAATGTTCTTAGAACCCCAAAATGCGCTAAGAACAGGAGCAATGTTCTCAGAACATAAAATCCGATGTATCAAAAAAACAGTCCCGGCCAGAAATGTTCTAGGAACATTTCGTGGGAACCACAAGCGGTTCTTAGAACATTGTTTGGTATGGCTATAGGCGAGCCAGGACGCTTCGCCACTGCTTGATAGCCTGCCGCTCCGAAGCGTGGTGGGCCGGGACCGGCTGAGCGACACGCTGCGGCGAGGGCAGGTTCCTCTCCGCGCGTCCGGGGACGCAGCAACTGAGCATCAGGGGATTCCCACGGGTGGCTCCATGCGCCCCCCGCGGGCCGCCACCACCCTGCCAGGGAGCTGCAAACTGGTGGCCCTTGCGCCCTCCGCGGGTCGCCACATCCCCGCCGCGGACAAGGAATCGCGGGCGGCTCCTCTCCTGCACCGCGATGGCGGCACGCTCGGCCTCTCTCGATCGCCTCCTCAGGCGAGGAGAAGCCGTGTGCAGCAGGAACACCATCCTCGCCAGGCAAGATACGGCGAGGGTATTGGATAAAGAACTCTTGGGTAAGGAATTGGGGGTCTGGAAGCCAGTGAAGCACCAACTGAGCCTTGACCATGGATATCCCCGCCGCCCTCATCGGATAAGGAACCCCCATGGGGTCTGAAGCCTCCAGAGAGCATTCCTTAACGAACGCCCCCACTGTAACCAAAGGTTCCCGACCGTATGCTGATGTATGCTGTCTCTTTCGAGAGGGGAGCAGAGACGCAGGCCACCGTCTCGGGCTCCACCGCACTGCTTGAAGAGCTCCTGCGCCTTCATAGCAGCACCAATGGCCTCCTCCACCTGCGGGGCCCGGCCGCTACTGGCGGCTCTCGCCAACCCTCCTCCTCCTCCGCCTCTCCTCCACCTCCTCCGCTCGCATCGCTCTTCGACTTCCGCCTCCTCCTTTCCCGCTACTTCCGCTGATCGTCCTCGTCGTCGACGTCGTAGTCGTCGTCCTCCCCCATTCCTTCTCCTCGTGAACAGTACCCCCTGTCGCACCCCGACGCCAGTCGAAAGGGCGGGCCAGGCGTTTCGTTTTCGACTTCCTCACCATGTCTAATCCTGAAAATTGGAATCTGCAACAACTTTCAAAATGTGACCCTCGCTTTAGCGCCGAGCGCATCCGTTTTAAAGATCTGGAGGAGTTTCACGGATGGAAGACAGGTGGTTTTCAAGATGTGGCTCTCGCCTGAGCGCCGCGCACATCCGCGTTAAACATTTGCAAGAGTTTCGCGGATTGCCATAAAAATCTGGTACCTGGTGGTATGGGGCCCAGCCCTCCTGGCGCCGACACGGTGGGCGATGTTTGTTTTGTTATGTTCTGCACCTGGGGGCTCTCTCCGGTCCCCAGGGCTGTCAAAAAGAGACTCGGGAGGAAACTCTGGTCCCGGGGAAGGGGTCGAGACGCTCCAGGAACGGCGCGAAGGTCTGGCTCAAGAAGGGTGACCTCGACGGCCAAATGGGGCGCCTCAGACGGAGCAGGGGGACCTCCTGTCGTGCTGGGGGGGCATCAGGTCCAGCGAGACCAACTTTGTGCAACGAACCCCTCTGGCAGACCCCGAACGTTTTGGAGCAAGTAATGATGGCGGGGGTATGCCCGTAGAGGGGTGAGCAAACGGCATTCGCCACCGCCTGGAGCGGCAAGTTTGGCGCCGCGCGCCGATTCCTCGCCGGCCGCCAGGCCACTGTCACCGTGACCATCCTCATCTTCGCCGCATTCCCCTTGGAGGAAGACGGACGCTTGCCGCGGGCAGCCCCGCGCTCACCTCTGCGTCTCGCTCCTTCTCCTCCACTTCCTCCTGCAACTCCTCCTGATCCTCACACTCCTCCACGTCCTCCTCCCCTCCTCCTCCTCATCCTCTTCCTCCTCCTCCTCCTCCTCCTCCTTCTCATACTCTTCATATTCCTCTTCCTACTAGTCCTTCCGTCATCCGCAGCTTCTTCCGCGTCCCGCCTCGCTGTGGTCCCAACTACCCTATGTCTCTTCTTCCCGCACTTCTATTCGTTATGCCACTCCTCGTGCTGCTCCTCATCCCCCGCAGCTTCTGGGACAAGCAATGACACAGATATAACAACTCGGATGTCCGCGCGGATTTCTGGGATCTGCGCAGGCCTCCGCGTGGTTTCATGTTCATGTCATTGCTTGTTCCCTGATCTTCCTCGGTCTTATCCAGCTCTGCCCCCCCCCGTCCTCATCCTCCCGCGCCCCCCCCCCTCCCCCCTCCTTCACCTCCGACTGCACCGCACCCCTCCCCCGATCATTCGCACCCCTCTCCCCGTCTCCTCCTCGCTCTCGTCCTCGTCAACATATTCATGCTCCTCCTAAACCTTACCCCTTGCTCGTCTAACCGCGGGCACTCTGGGGCCAATAACCGTGACTTGCCAAGAAGGAATGAGACCACGGAAGGCCAACAGCAGGTGCAACGGCGACACATCATCTTTGACTCCGCGGGCGTACCCCGACTCGCCGTGTGGGCGTACCCCGACTCACCAAACTCAAACTCACATACCACACTGCCCTAACCCGTGGGCTGACAAACAAGCCAGCACTTACCAGCTAGAAGCCATTATCCGCACCTTCATTTTGGTGCGGCCTCATATGTCTCCACCTCGGCGCCATTCCCCTCTTCTACCTCAACGTCATACTACTCCTCCTCCTGCTCCTGCTCTTCGTCCTCCTCCTGCTCAAAGTGATCACCACCGGTATCACCATCATCATTATCACTGCCGTTGTCCTCATCACCATCATCATCACCATCATGAACAACATCATCATCATTATAATCCAAGTCGTCGTCCGGCTTCCTCATCGTGATCATCCTCTTCACCATCATCATGCATCATCCTCCAAATCTTCCTCGTTCTCCATCGTTCGCCGCTCCTCCTCCTAATCATCATCCACCCTCTCCATCCCGTGTTCATTATGTCGTGTCTGTCCGTCGCGCCATCAGGCGTCGGTAGGGCGGGCCGAGCACCTGGCATGAGACGTCGCCACACCTTGTGGCCCTGCAGCCTGAAATCTACAACGGCTAAACGGCAAAGGGACAGCCGTTGTCAAACCGTGGCTTTCGCATTTGCGCCGCGCGCGATTGTCAGAAGGGCTCCAGGGAACTGCTCGGATGGAAGGCTGGCCCGTTTCAGACGGCGGCACCCGGTTTCGGGCCGCGCACGCTCGTCCTGACAGCGTACAAACGCCAACCATGTCAGAACGCAGCGATTCACGAGGAGGGGACTTGGGCTGGGAGGGTTATGCTGGAACGTCGCTGGTGCATCTGGAGTCTACGCTGGTCGTCAACCCTCAAACGCTACTCAGAAGGCAGCGATTGACGAGAATGGGACTTGGGATGGGAGGGTGGTGCTACAACATTGTCGGTGCATCCTGGGTTGCAGTGGTCATGAATCCTCCTCGTCCTCCTCCTCCTCCTCCTATTCTGGATCCGCTGGCTCCTAACAAGAGGGGACGACAGCAGGACATCCTCCTCCTCCTCGTCAACGGCTTTATCCTCCTCCCGCCCGCTCCTCCTCGTCATCCCACCATCGGGCGCTGACCCATACGTTATACACTTTAGTGCACTAAAAACAACGACAGGGAGGAGGAGGAAACGGAGGAGGAGAGTAGGGGCGAGGCGACGAGGAGGGGGGGGGACGGGGACGGAAGGACTATCAGGAACGAGGAGGAGCAGCAATGGCAACACCAGCAGCAGAAAAGGGGGGGGAGAGGAGGAGGAGGATAAGTGCTACTTCGGGGAAGGATGGGGGTAATGGGGGAGGGGGAGGGCGAAAGGGATAGGTTCGGAGACGGTATTTGTTTTTGCTTTCGGCGGAACCCCCCGCCCCCCCCCCCCCCGTAGAGAAGTTATGGGCTGATTTTGGCACCTGCTTCAGTCGATCGGACGAACTACGGGGGCCGGCGCCCCCCCCCCCCCGTAGAAACTCGAATCGTTGATGTGTGCAACTGTGCGAACTTTTTCCTGCTATTCTTCTGGAACCATAACGAAAGGGCTCAGGGGCGCCGGACCCGATCGCCAAAAAGCATGCCTCCGGTTGGGCCCTCCCCTGTTATGCCACCGACGGCCTTGTGGAATCATGAATATGTGATCCATAGTAATCCTGGCACAGCCCCGCACAATCACGCATAGCCTTGGCGCAGCCCCGCGCAGCCTCTGCGCAGCCTCTGTTAGAATGAGTTTGTTTACCAGTTTCACGCCTCATGAGGCTCAAATGTTGAATTGTAAGCTATGTTGAAAATTTCAAGATGATTCAATCGGAGGTATTGACTACGGGACGAGAGCCGGACCCCCCCCCCCTCCCCCCCTTGCGCCAAATCACGAAACCCAGAATACATAAACGCTCACCGAGGAAGCAGGAGGCAAGAAGGATGAGTTTGGAAGAAGAAGTGGGAGGAAGAGGGAAAGAGGAGAGACGATGAAGAGGAGGAAGAGGAACACCAACAGCACAGTCATAATGTTGAGAAGGAGGAGATGGACGAGGATGAGGAGGGAATGGGATGAAGAGCAGGAAGAGGAGGAGGAAAAAACAAGCCAGGGCAGGACGGAGAGTGGGGGGTGTTGGAGAAGGTGTTTTGGGAGGACATGGAGGAAGACTAAAGAGGAGGAAGTTAGCATGATAACGAGGATGAGGGGGGATGACGAGAAGGGATGAGGACGAGCGAGAGCTGGGGTCGCAACGCGTTGGCCTCTTCATCCTCCTCCTCCTTCTCCTCCTTCTCCTTCTTCTCCTCCTCCTCCTCCTCCTCTTCCTCCTCCTCCTCCTCCTCCTCCTCCTCCTCCTCCTCCTCCTCCTCCTCCTCCTCCTCCTCCTCCTCCTCCTCCCCCCCCACCCTCCTCCTGCTCCTCCTCCTGCACCCCCCCTCAGCATGCATGCTGCCTTGCCCATCTCGTAGTGCAGCTCTGCTAGCGTGAGGTGCGCAATGGCCTGAGGTGGCACGGCGCGTTGCGGAGACCGAGATGCGATCACTCCGGGATCCAGCTAAAGGAGGAGGAACGGGGGGATGGGAGTGAGAGGGGTAGGCGGGGAAGAGGAGGGGAAGAGGGGGAGGTGGGGGAGAGAGAGGGCGGGGAAGAGAGGAAGGGAAGAGAAGGATTTCACACGACGGGGGAAACACGGGGACGATGAGGATGAGGAGCAGCAGGAGGACGACGACGACAGGATTGTTAGTCGGAGGAAGATAAAAAGGGGCACAATGTGCCAACGACCCGATGGCAATGTGAGGGCCGCGAAGGATTCTGAACTGTCGCAAGAGTACCTTGCACCACTGGGGCGTCTGGAGGGTCTTCTGGGGCGGGGGCATCTTGAGGACTCTCGAGGGTTTCTGGGGAAGCTGTTTGGAACTTCTTGATGCATCTTGGGGACATCTTGAAAGCCTCTCGGGCCCTTTCGGGGCATCTTGGGCACTGACGCATCCTAGAGGATTGTTCGATTCGCTTGGGGCGGTCCAGTAATAGATTTTGCGAAACCATCCAACGCGAAAACACCCGTTTCGAGATTTGCCGCTTGACGCGGATGGCGCAGGTTCGCCGCTTGAAGCTTCGTCAAGAGGCGCAGTCTGGGGCGCTACCTCCTCGGGCGCAAAGGGGCCAGGATGACGTGAGCCCACGACAAGGCCCCCAACAGCATCGCAACACCAAACTGAGTTGAGCTTGTGGGTCCGCGGGTAGGTAATACACGATGCAAGCCCCGTGGGTGTTTATACTCTCACCCCCGTCGCCCCCCCATGAACGCCAATCCCAGGCACGGGGCCGCACCTTACGAAACGGGGTGTAGGCCTGCTTGCCGCTTTGACCCACACATCTCGGCGCGACAGATCATGGTCACCCCCGCCCCTGACAAAGCTGCATGACACGGAACACTGCCAGGTCCATGCCCATGGGACGTCAAAGTTCAATCATCGCTCCAGGCCAAGGGACGCCCAAATACTGCCACCACCGTATCTGAATGTTCGCAAGCGTGGACCCCAAGCAGTGTGTTGTCAGCCGCATGTGTTACGTGATCAACGATGTCCAATCTACGTTGTGCCATCTAGGCTGCGCAATGTATACTGTGCAATAAATGTGGTGCAACTATCTGTGAAGAAATTGGGTTGTCCAACCCCACAATTCGCACAACCATCCAACCCACCCACCCGCAACTTGGTTTGTAAAACCCACGCGCCGGCGGTTACTATGGCTGCGCGCCGCTAAACAGCGCATCTCTGCGGCTTCGCTAGCACGCGCAGGGTCGCGCGCAAGACGACCAGCTAGTTTGGCACAACCAAAGCCGCGGTGGCGCTGATCCATGGGGAGTCCTCCCCAGGGCGTTTCAAAAGACGCCCCTGGCGCGCGAGCGCGTCAGTGCGGGTCGGTGACTCGGGCGGGCGCCGTATCGTGGTGACGTCGGCAATGGTGGGAACAATCATGGTACTGGCGATGATGGTGACGAACATGTCGACGGCGGCGGGACGGCCGAAGAAGGCGCCGATGCGAGTCACGCCGAAGATGATGATGATGATGATGGTGATGATGATGATGATGGTGATGATGATGATCGACCGTACCTGGGGGGCGACAGTGTGGCCGCACGCTTAGTTGTCAGTGGCGTACGCGGCAGCTGCTACATCGGCGATTTCCCAACAGGGCTCGCAGCGGTTCCGTGAACCAGCGTCGCCCTGAACTTATGATGGGTGTGAAAAGAGGGTACGCCCGGTAAGCATGGCGGCACTGTGGGAGAGTGCGCACGACGCACAGTTGCATTCGTTGTCGGCGCCAAGGCCGAGTGTTAAATGAGGTGAGGGAGGCAAGGTCAGGAGTACAGGGCAGAATAGATGGTATGGGAATGAGTCGAGCTGCTCTCTGCAGCCAAAAATACGCGATGTCGCTCCAGTGACACGCATGCAATGTGATGTTGTCCACCCTCCTGCGAAGATCTTGTGCAGGCCACGCAGGTTTAATCGTGCGGAGCACCGCAAGGCCTCCCCCCCACCGCTCGCCCACCGCCCCATTAATCGAAGCAGAAATACCCCAATCAGACAAACACTTAGCGATGGTATTCGCAAATCCAAATGGAAAAAGTGAGACGCGCACCATGGAGGGAAAAGTACGCTGGACCTTCCTCCTGCGGTTTTCCCCCACTGCACTAGCCTGTTCCTGGCGGGCCGCCGCGAGCGCCGAACGCCAGGGTGCAACAGGAATGGGTGAAAAGGTTGGCACCCGGGAAAGACTATCAAACCGCTGCCAGAAACCGCGCTCTGTCCGCAAGCATAGTGCATTCACTTGCGCGCGCGTCCAGCGCGCCAGTGGTACTTGGAAGGTCGCCGCTTCAGACCAGTCGTGCAACTGCGCTTCGCAGCTTCGCAGAGTATGAAAGTCGCATCTCCACGAGCTTGCTGCATCCACGACTAGCTCTGATGCGCGTGCCACTACACCGTGTGCTTTGAATGAGAACAAATCAGCCAATCGGAGCGCCTTGGATGGCAAACGAAGGGCTCTGTGCAAAGCGGATTTTTTCTTTGTGCAGGACTACGGTCGGCAATGGAAGCTGCAAGGCGCGGCTTAGTGCCGAGAGGGCAGCGCTGCTGCGCGGAAGCGGTCCGACACTAGACCCCGACCACAAAGGAAACAATACTGTCTTACTGGGTAAGAGCCGCAATTTTGCTGGCCTCTCGGCGCTTCTGAAGTCAGGAAGGACACGTGTTAAATCAGACAGACAGGGCTGCTTAAGCCTCGAAGCATCCGCGCTTCCTCCGACCACCCCCCGTGGAACCTCCGCCACCAGCTGAACTAACATCGGGTCCAGCGTGATGGCCCACGCCGAGCCTGAACGTGGGCAGCCTTGCGTCATGCCTGAACGCAAGCGGAAGGTAAATAGCAATTCGCCCTGCAACAGATCAAAGCTGCGAGGCTCTAAATGCATTGGGGCAAGCAAATTCAAATATTCGGGCGGCACGGCACGCCAATGCGAGAGAGCAACTCCCACTGCCACTCGCTGTCAAGATGGAAGCACACTGACTCTAGCGAGCACAACAAAGACAGGCGCTTGCGTCGCAGCTTTCTCAGCGATGCTAGCCGAGCGGGCAGCTGCGTCTAGCTGGAGCAAAGTATGCAACGAATTCCTGCTCGGCACAACTCCTAGCTTGGCATGGTGAATGTGCGCACAGACCAGTCCTGTAAGCCACTGATTGGCCGCCGAGGCTAGGATCTTAGAGTCCGCGCGGGGCCACGCAAAAGGGGGCGAGTATGGTCTGGACTCCGCAGGCACTCATCGACATCGCTGGCCTCGCTCCCTTTGGGCAGGAAGGCGAAGCCGGGGTCGTTCAGGGTCTCTGGAGCACGGTGGCCCGCCACGGGGTGCCTCTGGAGTTGCTGGTCCTCCGAGACCGCCCATGCATGCCGTTGCCTTCCTCGTAGAGCACGTTGTGTTGTTCACGCAGCAAGCTCGCGGTTGGCCTGAGGCTCTGCAGCGCGCAGTGAACGAGCTCGACGGCGGACAGAATCGAGTTCCCGACGCTGAACGCGCTCATCTTGAAGGCGGAGATGCTTGGCACCCACGACTGAACTGGCCATGATGAGATCTGCTAACCTCCTATCATGCCTCCAGACAGCACGAACAATACTGCTCGAAGTAATGTTGCGCCCCCCCTCGGGCACGCTTGTCATTGGCACACAATGGGCGTCGCCGCAATTCATCGCGTGTTTGTTTGGCCGCTATTCAAACGATCTTTCAACTGCTGCCATCTGGTAGCTGGGGGAAAAGCGATCCAGGTCCGCGTCGACCATTTGCATGTCCAGGATATCATTATACCTTACGTCGCAGAACACCACGCCAGGGATGCGATGGTCCGCGGCGTCTCCTGGTGCCTTGGAGTTCTGATTGAGCAGCAGCACGGCGTGCTCGGCGAGCTCCTCCTGGGAGCTCCCGAGCCGGACATGGTCCACACTCTGGGGGGCAACCGCGTCGAGGAGGAAGTGTAATGAGATGTAGGAAAGGCTCTGTCTATGGCGGAGGCGGACTACTGATGGCGACTGACGCGGGTTGGAGATGTCGGCCAGCTCCTCCTGGGCCGGGACAACGAAAGCACGCCAGATTAGCTCGAGTGGCTGGAGTGTCGGCACAGTCAGTATTGGTGTTTCCAATGGGGTTGGCTCGTCGAAACTAAGCAGCTCTCCATCGCGAGCGTTGAAGCCCCCCATGGCAATGAACGTGCGACGATGGGGGTCGCCATGATTCCATTCAACCGCATCCTTCCACGTATGGATGCCCACTTGTTTGAAATTGGGAGCAAACTCGTAGTTGTGCACATTCGCGCCCATCACAGAGTCATGGCCACCAGCGGAATCGACTCGACATGGCCAGCTGCATCTGCCCGGCGAAGGTGGTTGCGAGCCTGGCCCCCAGCGCCTGGCCCGCCCGAAGGCCATGTCCGCCAGCGCATTGTTGAGCATCAGGCGCGGGAGGCCCATCCACTGGTGTCGCGCTCGGGCTGGCCCATGGATCACGCTCACGAAGCAGATGAGCTCGAGGCCTCCCTGCATCTGGGAATGTGGGAAGGTCGTCAACTCCCTCCATGAACTGACATACTTCTGCTGCTTCTCGCTGCTGCTGTTGTTGTTGGGGCCGAACCGCGCCTCCTCCCGAGCTGCCTGGCCGCTGTGAACCCCTTATCATGCCCTGCTTGGACTCGGTGCCGATGGCGTCAATACTCTCTGCTGGCTGCAGGTACGGTGGGGCCCCATCGATCACTGCGCGATCCACTGTGCGCCGCGTGCCGGCGATGATGCGATCGACGCTGCTTGGAAGTACTGGAATTGGACGGACTGGAACCTGAGCCGCGGTCTGAAGCCATTCGGTAGACCACTGGCGTCGCCGAGAGAACTTGATGAGTCGCGTTGCCCCCGTCCGAG